TTTTTTTTTTTCATAATACTAATTAATGCTATTGTTTACAAGTCGAAGTGATCTAGAAAATATTTGTAATGAAATAATTAGGTAAATGTAAGCCATATTATACGTAAAAACACATATATTTAGATTAACGTCATTTAAATGGTGAAACATGTTTTATAAATTGATATTGATTGATATGACGAGGTACGAATAGCGATTACGCGGCTGAAAAACAACAAAGCTGCTGAAGCTGACAATAACTCTTAAGCAGAANCGCCTGACTATGACGAGGTACGAATAGCGATTACGCGGCTGAAAAACAACAAAGCTGCTGAAGCTGACAATAACTCTTAAGCAGAATATGGTCAGATGAACGCATGCGCGACGACTGGAATTTAAGTGTGCACTGCCGAATCCACAAGAAAGGTGACCCCGCTATACGCGCCAACTGCCGCGGAATCAGCCTTCTAAGCATAGGGTATAAGGTCTTATCGAGTGTACTGTGNGTCAACGAGCTGATTGGACCTTATCAGTGTGGCTTTAGGCCTGGAAAATCCACCATAGATCAGGTATTCACAATACGCCAAATCTTGGAAAAGACCCGCGAGAATAGGATCGACACACACCATCTATTTGTCGATTTCAAAGCCGCTTTCGACAGCACGAAGAGAAGTTGCCTCTATGCCGCGATGTCTGAATTCGGTATCCCCGCGAAACTAATACGTCTGTGTAAAATGACATTGAGCAATACCACCAGCTACGTCAAAATAGGGAAGGACCTCTCCGAGCCGTTTGACACTAAACGAATTTTCAGACAAGGGGACTGCCTTTTGTGTGATTTCTTTAATCTGATGTTGGAGAAGATAATAAGAGCCGCAGAACTGAACCGCTCAGGCCCAATACTTTACAAGAGCGTACAATTACTGCCGTACGCTACGTCTGTTAATATTATCGGTAAAAACAAGGGCTACGTCTGTTCTGCCTTCTCGGGATTGGATAGAGAAGCAAAGCGAATGGGTCTGGTGGTGAACGAGGACAAAACGAAGTATCTCCTGTCAGCACACAAACAGTCAGAGCATACGCGTCTTGGCACCCACGTCACTGTTGACAGTTACAAGTTTGAAAAAGTAGACGACTTCGTTTATTTGGGAACCAGCATTAACACCAATAATAATGTCAGCCTTGAAATCCAACGGAGAATCACTCTTGCCAACAAGTGCTACTTTGGGCTGAGTAGGCAATTCAGGAGTAAAGTCCTCTCTCGTCGTACAAAGATCTATAAGTCACTCATCATGTGCTGGTGTATGGAGTTCTTGGAGCTCTTGGAGTTTTCGAGAGAAAGATTCTGCGAAAGATTTACGGACCTTTATGCGTTGGTGATGGCGAATGATCAGATGATTTAACGATGAGCTGTATGAGCTTCACAACGATATAGACATAGTGCAGCGAATTAAAATCCATCGGCTCTGCTGGCTTGGCCATGTCGTTCGAATGGACAGAAACGCTCCTGCTCTGAAAATATTCAACGCGGGCCGCGATGCTGGTAACAGAGGAAGGAGAAGGCCTCCTCTGCGTTGGAAAGACCAGGTTAAGAAGGACTTGACTTTACTTGGAATTTCCAATCGGTGTCAGTTAGCACAGAAGAGAAATGGCTGGCGTACTGTTTTGGACTCGGCAGTTACAGCGCCAATAAAGAAGAAGAAGAAGATATGTAGTTGAAAAAAATAGCTAATAGCTAAATAGCTCATAAATCAAACCGTGGCTGTCAATAATTCTCTAACATTTTATTATTGAATTATGGTCTTCTGCAATAACGGCACAACTCAAACTCTCTTGTCTTTAATCCTTGTCTCACAGTGCCGCACAAACGACGAACATGCACCGCAAGCCGAGCATGCTCGCGCACTGTTCGTCGTGTGTAGCCACTGTAATTCGCAATACAAGATTTTGAGGGCGAATTACCCCATCCATGCCATGCGAATTACAACAAATCGATGCCGTCTCTAATTTTTATCGGAAATTTATCGAAACCAGTTCACAAATCACAGCTGACATGTTTTGTTTGCGTTCAGACACAGAAACTTTTGTTACGGCAATTCGAAATTTGTGTAAGGGAGGGCGACGAAGAAAGGGGAAGCGCACTGCATTGCTCGTGCTCGGGCAACACTTCGTGTGCTTCGTTCGTCTGAGTAATTCAAGTTGGCGGTTCACAGCTGACAAAAACAATTGTGTACAAAATAATTGCTGTGTGTGAACGCTAATAGGGAATTTACATGATTCAACTTTCACAGGCGATTAGTTGAACCAAAAGTTGAACGAAAGTAGGCAGCCGACCAACTTCATTGTAAGCGATTAGTAGAAAGGCCGTTTACATCAGGCGATTGTTGCTTTCAACTAAAAATCTTTTAAGATACTAAAAGGTCACACATATGCAGGAATTCATTTAGCTCAATGCATATTTTGCCAATTTTTTACTTTATTTTAATGGCTATTGCCTTTTTTATATCACTTTAAACACCCTGTTGAAAATTTTTTTTGACAGGTACTTTCCAGGTAGCTTCCAGGCAGTTTCCAGGTAGAAGAAGAACATTTGTCACTTGTATCAGAGAACGTATATACTGATCAAAGGACATTTACATTTACATTTACGTTCTTTGCATTTACGTTCTTTGGACAATAGGTTTGTATCAAGGCGTATTTAACAAGGTGGTGTTGGCCGTATATAAGTAAAAAATTACACTAACAAATTATACGCTGATGTCCATACTGTCATTGGTATGAGTTACAACAAACACATCATTTTGACGTAATGGCCTCCACGGCGAAAAACTCAGCTGTCGCCCCAACACCACCTTGTTTAATACACCTTGGTTTGTATAGTAACTTCTCCAGTAAAACATTGCAACGAGAGCGTAAAAGCAAAATAGAGCGTAAAATTGAGAAGAACAGAAAACTAGCAGAAAAAGTTAATGAACACAAAACTAGCAAAAACTTGCAAGTGAACAGCTGTTGCACTGTTTTGATATTCTGCTGTAAATATTTTACTATTTATAAATCATTTTTAAACGCTTTGCTTTACACACACGCACTTACACAGTCCAGTACATCATTAATATTTTGATTTCTGCTCATTTTACTTTTGTTTGTGCTAAACCAATTCAACAAATGGCGGCTTTTGACGTTTATTCTTCTTCTTCTTCTGCTAGCTAATTTCTGCTAGTAGAAATTTCACTAGCAAGAATTTGCAGCTCTCCCGTGTTGTTACGCTCTCGATTCAGTGCTCTCTTGCAAATTTTTTGGGTTATCATACACTTTTCCAGTAAAAATTTGCAGGTTCCAGTACAAATTAGTACTGACTATTGGTTACTATACAAACCTAATACCAGAGAACGTATATTTATATACGTTCTCTGCTAATACATACAACTGTTTTAACAGGAAAATTATATGGCAGCACTGGAAAACTTCGCGATAACTATGGCGATAACCATCTGGGAGCCACTCACATTGCTGTTTGTCATTATCACAAAAAATATAAATAAAGTAAAATGAAGAAAGTTTTGGTAACAGGTGGGTCAGGACTAGTGGGTAATGCCATCAAAACCGTGATCAATGGAGAATCTTCCGAAGATGAATGGATTTTTGTGGCTTCCAAAGATGCTGACTTGACGTAAGTAAATGAAATCAAAGTTGCAATCCACCAACAGTGAACTTGAATGCTCTAACCCATTTTAGGGACAACAACTCCACCAGGGCCTTATTTGACCGAATAAAGCCAACCCATGTCGTTCATTTGGCAGCGATGGTTGGCGGCCTCTTTCATAACATGAACAATAACTTGGATTTTCTGGTAATTATGAATAAACAAATACTATCTTTTCGAACCGCTTGTGAATGACGAATTTTTATAATTTAGCGGAAAAATATGCAAATAAATGACAACGTACTACAAACGGCATACGAGCACGGATGCATTAAAGTAATTTCTTGTCTCTCCACATGCATTTTTCCAGACAAGACTAGCTACCCGATTGACGAGACTATGGTTCACGACGGTGCGCCTCATCCTTCCAACTATGGGTATTCATATGCTAAGAGACTTATTGATGTGCTAAATCATGCGTATCACGACAAACATGGTTGTCTTTTTACGTCTATAATTCCTTGCAATATCTTCGGTCCTCATGATAACTATAGACCTGAGGTCAGCCATGTCATCCCAGGCATGATTAATCGTATGTATCAACTGATATATGAAGAAAAAAGTCTGCCAGATAACGAAAAAGTGTTTGTTGTTTACGGAAGCGGGAAACCACTGCGCCAATTCATTTATTCCTTGGACCTAGCTAAGTTAATTATGTGGGTTTTGGATAATTACGACAGCGTTGACCCACTAATTCTAAGTGTAGACGAAGAAAATGAAGTCACTATTTTTGAAGTTGCCAAAGCCGTTGCGAAAGCTTTTGACTTTAAGGTACATAATTGCTACGATATAGCCAAGAATACCCTTGATATAATTATTTATTTTAACTTCTAGGGGAAACTAATTTGTGATACGAGTAAAGCCGATGGTCAATATAAGAAAACGGCCTCAAATAAAAAGTTGCGCAGTTTGTTACCAAACTTCAAATTCAGTGCTTTTGAAGATGCCATTGATGCATCTGTAAAATGGTATATTAAAAATGTAGACAATGCGAGAAAGTAATTTTAATGCATTTGTATTGTACAGCCCGATTCACTTGAATTTGTACACAATTTTTCCTCAAGATCAAAGCTTATATCTGGACTTTTGGACAACAGGGAAGTTTATTTTTGATCTCATTTTGGAGAATGATGAATTTCGATGATAAGTGGAGTAAAAGATGACAATTCCTTGAGTACGTTGCATTTTATTCCAGTTTTTCTCAAACTACCCGAAAATGATGCTTATTATTTTGATTCACCTGAATTGGTACCTTTTTAAGAATTTAAAGGATAATTAGAACTATAACAGGGCAAGAATAGGCGAACCAGGGAACTTTCAACTGAAAAAAATGTATAAAGGGTCACGCTTCCAGAACTTTGCAGGCGATCTGTGGGGGAAAAACTGAAGAAAATGCAAATGTTTTTGACAACTGAAGCCGGCTCATAGAATTGCATGCAAAAAGCCTGATAAGGATCCAGAATACAAAAGCTAGACGGCAAAAAAAATGTCCTTCACGAGGTCAGCAACTTATTTTCGAGATAGAGGACCAAAATGAAAGAAAAACGTTGTTGTTGATGACATCACAAGAGAACTACGGATTACTCTATACACTTGTGTTCAGAAAATGTCAAAAAAGGGAATCAATTTCACTATACAAAGTAAAGAATTACGACTGGAAATTTGTACAACTCGCATGCCGGAAGGACAACTAGAAAATACTGGTTTTCTCCGGCAAAAAGTTAAAATTTGATGGCTTCCACGGATTTAATAATAATGGTAACGATTTTTGAAAGGACGAACGATGTTTGTTTCCCCTTCATGATCAAGAAGAGAGTATGGCGTTCTGAACCGCGATATCGTAGTCTACAGCAGTTCAGATAATAGGCCTGTTCGAGGCACGTAATAAAATTACATCCGCACTGATAAAAATATGCAACAGTGTTGCAACTGGCCAACTGGTAAAACGATGCCCGATTGGTGATTGGAACTCGTACAAGACCAACATTTCAAGTTTCCACAATTACGAATAATCCATGCAAAAAAAGTGTTAAGGACATTTTTTTAACATTTGTCGCATATTTTCGCACCTCTTTCTTGATTATGCTAGCAAAAGTACGCACCGATTCGCAATACAGGAGCTGTAAAAACGAGGATAACGAAGCAGAGTCATAATTTTTCCATCGTTCGTCCTATTCACAGGACCTAAACTTGATGGAAAATATTTAGAATGGGTTTTTTGCAAAGTTGGCGTCTCAGACAATGCATGTGACGTTTGGCAGTTATTCCTTAACTTTTCAAAGCGCCTCTACAATTGTCTTCCGGATAGGGGTTTTTTCCATACATTGGAATTAAGGATGTAGTATCTAATACTACAAGTGCTTTATAGTAGAATTAAAATGAATGGTACGCTTTTATTGGTTCAATCTAATCCTTTCCTTGTGTTAAAACCACTGTGCCTATTCAAGTGAATCAACATAATAAGCATACATTTCGTGTAGTTTGATAAAACTTGGAATAAATTCCAAAGTAATAGAGGTGTTTTCTTCATTTCCATCGCTTTTCTTTAAAATTGATCAATCTTCCATATGAGGCCAAAAAGAAACTTCTCCGATACTCACAAGTCCACATATAAGCATATTTATTTGTTTGTTACGAGATACATTTTATATGAACATATCTACATATGTATGACCATTTGCAAACTACTACTTCTAATAATATATTTTTTTGAGAAAAGACACATCTAAAACCTTCCCGCAAAATATACTTTGAAAGCCAACAAATTAATTTTATTTGTTAAAGTTTGAAAACGAAAACTAGTTTATTTATGCTTGCTACTTGCACAAAAATTTACTCAGAAAACTAAAAGATATCCGAACGTTAGGGCATTAAAAATTGGAGCGTCCTAACGTATAATTACACAGAACTTGCGCTGAGCTAGCGTGAAAAGGGACGGTGCTGGTTCTTCATCTATCCCAACTCAATGCTTTCAACTGTCCTTTTTAACGATGTCCTATGAAGTGACAATTGTCGCCCTCTGCAGAACTTTTGAACTTGTTCTGAGCTGGCTCTGGCTTAGATGGTTCTGAGACAGTTCCTAGATAGTTCAAAAAGGGTCACCTCCGGGCTAGAAAAATGTGGTTGGTTTTGAGCTGCTTCTAAGAAGTATAGTATAGGCCCTTTTCTTTAAATAAGCACAAATACAATTTTGTAAATAAAAAATACTACATTTTATGTTTAAAGAGCAATTTGTTTTGCACTAATTTACTTTTTGAGACAAACTGTGCTTTAAAATTAGGAACATAAAGTGTCAATTATTGCTTCTTTTTCTGAAACCGGTATTCTTAAAAATAATTTTTATTTGTTACGTATAATGGGTATTTCTGGGATACTTGTAATTAAAAATCTAAACTAAATCGTGCCAAAAAATGAGAAAAACGGTGATATATTGAATGCTTACTTGTGATAACTCAGCGTTATATTGTACTAAATGTATTGAAATGTTATACATAGATTCCCCAGCATCTAATAAGAACATATAGAGCTTTGAATATTCACAATGGTTTTCACGCTAAATATTTTTCGTAAATTTCGGAATTTAAATTGATATGGTTTGTGGAGTACGACACATAGTACTTAAGTAAAAACGAAAAATATTTAAAATGAAAAACATTGGGAATAAAAAAAAAATCACTGCATAACTACACATTTCGGGTGCTCAGATATACAATATTTACGTATGTACAGTATCGTTCATATCAATAGCACCCCCATTTCAAAGTGACATTGTTTATCACTTTGGTTTATTTTTTTTTTAAATCTGATTAAAAGGTCAACAATTTTGATGAAAATGCTTTAAATTTAACTTTGTTTTGTATAAAGTTTTAAGACACGGTTTATGTATACAATTTTGTTTTAAACATGATAATTTTTTATGCATCGTAGATATTATGGGTCTTCACACCAAAGTTTGGTACTCGGTAACTCGATGTTCGGTAATTTTTGCCCATGTATTTTTTTTTTTTTGTGTAACGCTATTGCCGTACACCGAGTTATCAAATACCGAGCTCGGTGTGAAGAGCCATATTGTTTCTTACGATTCATTTGATATCGAAATTTACAAAATATTGTTATTATTGTTCTCTACGTTTGAAAAAAAAAACGATCTCTGGTTACGGTTCAAACATCAGCCAGGGGAATGGATAACATTGGATGGGGTCCAAAAGGTAAATTTAGTGTTGCTGTTGATATGCGCATGTTTATATGTTTACATTATTTTGTTGCTATCTTACCTATTTCTCCCCAACATAAACATACATACATACATATGAAGCGTAGCCGCGAATATCATTGAAAAACTCTCGCTTCTGATATAGACAGTTTGTAGTTGGCGTAAACGAACATAGCGACATGGGATTTTTAAAAACGTTGCGAGAAGCATAGAAAAAATGTCGATGAAAAAAAAAAATGTTTTTCTCGGGTTCAAAACTATCCTATCTTTTAAGTTGGAACCAAAAATACACAACCACAAAATTTCATTGAAATCGGTTACGCGTTTTCAGAGATTAACGCAACAGTGGCACGGGATTTTTATATTTTAAAAAACAAACAAATTTTAACTCTAAATATATTGTGAATATTTAAAAAAGAAATGGTGTACGCAGATCTTTGCTTTTAAGTGTAGCTTAACTAAATTTTATATTTTGCTTTAAAGTTTATAAGCAGAAGGCCTTTAATTTGCGCTACTCCATACAAAAAATAAATGAGAAAGAAATGCAGAAAGGAAGGCCTCTTGACTCTCAAGAAGGCCTTTAAGGGATTTTAGCTCCTGAAATTATCTACTGGGACTCTCTCGCTTAGATTTTCCACACTTGAACGAATTTTCTTTAACATTCCATAATACTTTCTTGTTGGAGTTGGTAAAAACGAGTTATGCTGCAAACGCTCCTGCTTTTAAAGCTCTAAAAGAATTTAACTTGCTATGAAATTCTGTTTTCCCAATTTCTATGTACATAGATAGATACATATAAGAACTCAGCGCGATATATACCGCCAAAATAACGTAAGCGACATTTTTTTCAAAATTTTCTTTTTGATGCAGAAATGCATCTAGATGCTCTAGGAATATTTCTGCATCAAAAAGAAAATTTTGAAAAAAATGTCGCTTACGTTATTTTGGCGGTTAGAGCTCGATATGTTTGTTTTTCATTCTGCGACAGAAAAGCGCTTAAATAAAAACCCGGACATCCGAAAACAGATTGCTTTTGAAAGTATACCCATCCCTAGTAGGGCTTGTCTTCGCTTAACACAGAAGAATTACGAATGTCGTGCTTTTTTGAACTCGGCTAAAATCGCTTATGCGGTTACAGTTCCAAACAGAGTTTGAACCAAATTTCATATAAATCGGACCACTTTTAACATTTCAGCCAACAGAAGTAGATATTCGGCGTGTTAATCGGCCTTTGCACACTGGACTGCTCAATTTTCTCTGACTTTGGACTGACACGCACACATAGACAACATTTTTTGTGTGTTTTCCAATAAACATTTGGGTTGGAGGTCAAGTGGAAATCAAATACATATTCCAATTTTCAAGTGTACCTAATTTTTGGCGAACCATCCCATTCTCAAAAAAAAAAAAGGGTACATTTTCGGCACTCAAAATAATGTGAATGCTCCACTTGAGGAGAGCTTGAATGTCAATTTGAATTCAAAATTTATCAAACCTTTAGAAAACCTTGTAGATAAATACTATACATTCACTTGTGAATAAAGAATATCTCAGAGATTGAAAAAAAATTTAAAAAAGTTTCCCATTAAACATTATGCCGAACGTTCGCAAAATATCTTCGATATCCAATATGAATTTAGAACTGAGAACGAACTTATAACACCAACCTTCGTTTTCCAACGTTCTGAGTAAATTGCAAATACACCCGAAATGGGTTTGAAAAAAAAAATATTGAAAACCATAGTAACAAGAGAGAAAGTGAAATCCATCCGTTTTGCTGGAGAATGGTCTAGTTCTCCAATCGAATACTAACCTAATATTGGTTTTCCAATAATTTTCGAATTGTTAACCAAGCCTAATGTTCGTTGGGTTGCTTTGTGGATATGTAATAGGTTGTTTTGAGAAACCACTAACACAGTCAAGCACAGTTCGTATATAAACAACCGACTACTCACTCTAGTGCGCGGAGGCCTATATTTTCAGTAATTCACAGTTCTCTTTCTCGCAGCTCCTTTCCGCAGCTAAGATCAGGACGTGTATGTATGGATGCTGATTTCCTGTGCTATTGGTGCAATTTTATGCTGGGTGTTATGGGGATATTAACAAAAGTTTCGTGACATTTACTTCTTTTATTCCTTACCTTTAAAATTTATTTGTGTAAGTAAAAGCGTAAGATTGTTTTAATTTATAATATAACATGTTTTATATATATTTAAATACATTTAAAATATATTTTCAATAAAATTTACATAATCTCATACAATACATACAATATTAGTTATAAATATGTTTTTATTTATATAGGAGTCGATTCTATTTGTAATTAGGGAAATCGTTTACTATAAAATATGTTCATATACATACATATGTATAATGATAAAAACGACTATAAAACTATGACAAAACGCAAAAAAAAAAAAACATTACAGAAAGTTTGCATCAGGCACATAATAGACATTTATGTACATTTGTGTATATGTACACTACGTATTAAATTGATGTGGAAAACTTAAGGAGTTATTCGATTTTTTGCGATTTACATATGTACATAGTTGCATAACGAGAGGATAGTAATTATTAATCTTTAATTTGTACAAAACGTATTAAAATAGAAAAACATAAAATGTATTAAGAAACAGACCGGCAACGCGGGGTCTCACATTACGGAAATGTCTATGAAGTCCTAACTAAAAGCGGGAAAGTGTAGGATAATTTGTTGTTGAACACAAATTAATGTTTGGAAAAAGAATAGAAAGTGAACTTGTAACAGTCGCCATTAAAAATCACGGACTTGGCAAATTTTTCCCATTGGCATTTTGCATCAAGTTACAACTTCCGAGACATATTGTTTGTGGTGGTGTGGTGGGAATGCGATAATTGCTTTTCTAGATGTTTGGTGTTGGTGTATAATGGTGATATTTGCTAAACTAATGTCACTCAAATTTAAGTCTTTTCACACATATCTAGCCCCTTCTTACACGCGCCTTTTCTTGAGTAGTATATCTTTGTTTTGTATTGTGAAGAATCCGTTGACCCATTTTAGATCAGGTTTCGAAAATCGTACAGTTTGGCCATCACCGCAGGCATTTTCGGCTGCGTATATGCCTTTGAGCATGACACTAGAACCCGATCCACATGCTAAAGCGCTGCCGACGTCCAATAGGCATGGATCGTGCACAACTGAACTGCAGACGCTGGTCTCATCTGCCCCACAATCGGCTCGCGATTGGGTTATTGTGTTTGAAACGTGCAAGACGGCCCCCTCCTCGTGAACTGAAAGAATATAAGTTTAAGAAATTAAAAATTTAATAAATGGATTCTAAATAGAAAGCGCCCTTTTCATTATTGATTTATGTACACCGCTACACTACGGAATACTTACTTTTGATTGCTTGTTTACCCCAACCGGTGGTTATGCATTTCTCTTCCGGTTTCGGATCCTCGTTGGTCACACAAATGGGCTTAACGTGTTGCGCAAATTCGATTCGCTTATCCAATCTTAAAACTGCCATGTCATTCGAACCCGTTGATGGATTATACTCGGGGTGTATATCAATAGACTTCACTCCAACTATTTGGAAAGGTAGCGGTTCGCTGTCACGTCCCAGTTCCCATTCGCCACCTTTTACTTTCAAGTCGTTGGGTGACACACTATAACAGGAAATATAGGATTTTTAAATTATTTAAATACTTAGTTAAATATGTATCGTTTGTAAATAAATTTTGATGCTCACCCTTTAACAACGGAGGCTGTTGTCAAAACAATTTGATCGCCTATGATTGCACCACCGCCCAATAATGTTTTAGTCGATTCCTTAAGGATCATTGCTTGCCATGGAATTTCACCAAAGTTAGCGTCAACATCTTGTATACCTTGTGGCTTGGTATTCTGAAAAGGAAGCAGAAGTGAATAAGCGAACACATTTGGTATGAGTTTTGCGAATCTTGGACCATGATAAAGGGATACTAACCTTGTTTCTGGTTGCACAAACGCCAGCCAAGTTAATTGGCCATGGGTCGACATAATTGGCGTCGCGACAACATTTGCCCGGTGCACCATTCTCCAGGAAACAGTCGGTAAGAGGAACGCGGAAGGCCGATTCGGCTGAGTTCACATCCACGGGCTGATCCGTTATCACGCCGATGCTATTGCAGAAGTTTTCCGGCGTGCACTCCAAAGCGGAGGCGCATTTGGATAAGTGCTGCCGGTTGTCAAGCGGGAGTGACAGGATGTCTTCGCCGCGCTGTGGCGACGTAGGCTTCGGTATCCTTGGTGGGGAAACTGTTATTGTTTGCGTCACTGTGTTGGATGGTTGTAACACATGATAGTCGGAAGGTGGGGGCAATGCCGGACTTGGTGGTAGATATGCATTCTGCGGTGTCGGAACGGGTTGTGGTCGAAAAGTGGGCCTGCTTGGTGTGACGGCTGGTTGATATGGTGTCTGTGTAAATACCTGACGAGAAGGTGTTGTTGGCGCAGGGGGTATATATTCGTAGCGTGGAGTTACGGGTTTTGATGTAGTAGGATATGTATTTGGGGGCAGATATTCCCGCTGTGGAGTTGTTGGTGGTAGACGAGGTGGAGTTGGAGCTGGAGGTGATGGTGGCTGACGAGAGGGAACGGGTTTTGATGTAGTAGGATATGTATTTGGGGGCAGATATTCCCGTTGTGGAGTTGTTGGTGGTAGACGAGGTGGAGCTGGAGCTGGGGGTGATGGTGATGGTGGCTGACGAGGGGGAGATGGTTGTTGACGAGGTGGAGATGGTGGTTGGCGAGGTGGAGTGGGCTGTTGAGGTATGGATGGCGGCTGGCGGGGTGGAGTGGGCTGTTGAGGAATGGATGGTGGTTGATAGGGTCTGCCAGTTGTGGGAATAGTGAATTTCACCTCTGGTGTACGTAGGACGTAGCCATCGTCGGTCAGTGTAGTGGACGGTATTCGACAACAAATATCGGGGGAGTAACAGCGATCACTCTGAAAGTAAATGGAGAAGTTATTAAAACTTTCGTGTCACAATATTTAGTCTTATTATATACATATGTATGTGCATATGTATCTTTGGATAGGTTTACTCCCAAGAATGATAGAATACATCTCTACATCGGGGTTTACTCTTAACTAAACTGCATGGTTTGTTACATATGTACTCAACCAGTATTGAGGCACTGAATAAATATCTTCTTAGCTATATATATTAGTATGTACGCACATTAGGGTGGCCCTTAAATGTAGGAAGGAAATTTTTATATCAGATTTCCTAAACCTCAACCCCTACGATCGATTATAGTTGAAGATCACATATAAATTTTGTTCTCGATTAGAGACGATTAAGGCGTGTCAGGGTCAAATTCCAGATTACACTACGAATACGTCTTAACCGACTCCAATCGGGAACAAAATCTATATGTGATATCTTCGACTATACTAGCATCGACGTAGGGGTTGAGGCTTAGGGAATCTGATATACAAATTTTCTGCCTACCTTTAAGGACCACCGTAATGTACATACATACACCATACATCATACAGCATTAACACCCGATACTTTGTTGAACTCGGCCAAAATCGCTTAGGCGGTTACAGCCTCAAATAAGGAAAAGAAAACATTTGATAATTTCGAAAAAATTTGTTCGGTGCGTTTTGATGTTGTTGTCCTGAAGGAATTCGTCAATGCCTGACAATTTGGGTTAAGTCCACTAAATCTAATACCTACTTTTGCATAATCATGAAAACGTATCCATACATATACATACAATACGTGCATTCCATACATGGACTATGTAGGCATGCACTTACATACATACATACGTAAATATGTATGTGCATATATTTATATGTATGTATGTATGTATTGGCACGTTTACCTCCTTGACACTTGGCATCAACGTGCGGTTTGTCGTTGATATTTGCTTTTTAGAGTTTTATAAATGATCCATCATTTTGGGACAGATAACAAATGCAGTAATGATTTCAAGAAAGGCTTTTAATTTTCGCATTTTTTATTTATTTTTTGTTTTTTTTGTTGTTTTTGGTTTGGCATATTCTGCGACAAGTTTTTATTCGTGATAACGTATTTGCCAATATGTACCCGCCACCAACTTACCCGTGCTTATGCATATGTATGTATGTATGTATTTATACAGCATGTAAATTTGTTTGTAAGTATGTACATGATATGTTGTTGTCTGTACATGACAAGATTGAAGTAGGCATTTTAAGGTAATTTGTTAATAGGGGTTATTTTTAATGGCATTGCTAAATGACATCCAGCTGCTTAATGAAGTTGTTCGGAAGCATACGTATGTATGTATGTATGTACATCCAAATATTGGATAATTTTTACGCTTATCTGTCAGGTATTTGTGCACATGCACCTATACATATGGACATACAAACATACATACTATGTAACCATAATTGTTTGTGTACAGTAACAATAAGATGTTAATTTCATTATAATACGATTTTTCAGTTTGTCAGTCAGTGGCCGTACCGTCATAATCGCGTATGGAAATATATGTATGTATGTACATATTAGGCTGCCACTTAGCCATATAAAGAAAAAATTGGTGTCACACTCATCTCAACCAAACAAATTTTCATAGGATCAAGAAAGCGGACGACGTGTCAAGGACAAAGTTGTAAAGCAGACATAGGAAATTTCCTTAAAACTATTATACGGGCCGGCAAACAAGTGAATTAATATTAATATTGAGACTTCAAACTAAGGACAAATATTAGTGTGTTTGTTTTGGGGTCTCAACTAAACTAGTACGTTTATTCGTGATAGACAAACCCACTATTCCTGTTCTAGGGAATTCATTCCAAGCGATTCCAAAGTCACGTCTATGTTTTCCGAAAGGGATTGTGTTCTTCTTGAGTTGCACATACATACATACGTATATGGGTAGCCTGACGCAACAGAGCTGATGGTCAAAATTATAATTCACAATCATATAGAAGATTTTGATTGCAATCAATTTGATTTGTATTATTTGTTTACAAATACAAAAAATCGTGAATCAATTGCTTTACGTACCAAAAATAAAACATGATAGAAATCAAAATTTTTGATTGAATCAGTAGTTTTATTTTGCGAGCAGATTGATTGCAATCAGAAGTGCTTACAATTAAATTGATTGCAATCAATTTCTTGTAAATGATTATAAATTGTAAATTTACAATCACTTTATGATCGGGGAACAAATTTTCCGGTAAATTAGAAAACAAAAATACCCACTTTTTCGCATTTTCGCACTTTGTTTCAATAAAACTTATAAAATCAATTTTTATGTTGGATTTTTTTACCTGGATGGCTTGTCAATACTAATCGCTTTTAGAATTTAGAAATGTCTAAATCCAAAAATATCTACGTGAAAAGTCTTGAAAAGCGTACTTCCTCTTTGAATAGAGAAAAGTCATATCAAATTTGCAAGTTAATTCGACAACAAAGTCGTATCTCGGTATTCACTAAAGTCTTAAATGGTATGAATAAAGCGGCTCAATGATCCTTTTGAAGAGATTTCCAACTTGGGATAGAGGAGGCTCTATGAATCAGAATACAGAAAAATTTATAGAGGTATATATTGTACCTTCAAAAACAAAGTAAATTTCTTTCTTATCCAACGAAATCCGAAATGGTATGACTGGTAGAGCATTCATGAACTTTGTCAAGCTAAATTGCCGCGAACTCTGCACTTTTTAATATTTCTTATTATTCTTGAAATATTATGGATTGACTACACCGACACATACATACATACATACATATGTACGCACCTTCACTGTTAGACTACATATTTATTCTATGACTTGGACTGTCATACACTACTTAACTTACATACTTATGAGTCTAATTATTTTTTAAATATTCTATGCTTAGTTAATATTCAGTAGTAATTTTTAGTTTATTTATATTGGCGCCATAAATGTAGCGAGTTGGGTTTTTACCCTTCACTATAATTTTGAAGAGCCGGTGGCGTCTACGTTTCGTATGCACTGTGTCTTTACTAAATACATAAATACATACATACATATGTACGTTTTATGTCAAACAAAACAAGAAACTGCCAAGACCTTGAAATGTGACGTCGTTTATTAAGTGTAGTCTGGCGCTGACTTCTAATACTAACAGTTTACTATTTCGTCTTATTTTTGTCAAGTTTAATGTTTCATCTTCAAGACAAATTAATTTTAGAATGACTCAGGCTTGAATATGTATGTATGTATGTATGTATGTATGCAGGTGTTACTCTGCTCACTTCTACCTATGGTCTAATGGGGATGATGTAATGAAATTCAATTAAAATAAAATCCTACGACTGTACATATAATCACACACAAATATCAGAGTATACACACATACATACAGTTAGTATATTTGTAGTTACGACGCTTTTTGTCAAGTTGTGTATTAATTATACGGAAACAGGAAACCCGAAAAAAATTAAGTTCGAATCAATTATAGCTTGGGGGGGAGCTTTAGACATATCTAAATGGGGCTGCAGTTACTTAGATACTCCTTTCACAATCTTCCGGGTTTTTTACGATTTAATCTTCAACGCGAAATAAACAGATATCAAACCTTCAATGTAATAAATAGCCCGAACACAATGAAAACGACGAGCTACGGACCACTGCTGTCAAATTATTTTAACACGTACTCTTATGTAGATAATTATTTTGGCGACGACTGGGCTACGCGACGATTGGTAGGAAAATTAAAATTAAAAAAAAAATTGCAACAGCGATAAAATAAAAAATTATTAAATATAAATATGCAGTGAATTTAATTTCCCACACTTGTTATATAGAAAGTTCTTTAAAAAATACCACTTTACGGTTTTCGTTATTTTTTGAGAATTTCTGTTAAAAATACACACAGCATATTGAAATTCCAAAGTTGTAGAAAAGTTCATTCTCCACAACTTTTGTGCCTACATTCATACACAGCGCGATGTACGTAATGCGCCGTAAAACTCATTTACACACCACCGCTGAGGTAGAGTTTTTCTGCGCGGATTTTTAACGTGGTTTCCCCAGTAGGCCTACTCCACGGGCTACGTTCTTTTTTTTTTTTAATGAAAGCAGTTGAAGGCATTACACATTTTTTTGTAAGAAAAAGCCTAATTTTACTGGGCTAAGAAACGCATTTTCCAAAAAAAATATACATATTTCTCAATGAATAATAGTAATACATACATACATATATATATTGTACATGTATACATACGTATGTATGTTTGAACAGTTTCCACAATAATTAGTAATTGTGACAGCGAGCCCCTCCTACAAAAGGTGTCATCAATCAAACTCTTCTGTCACCGCAGGTTTTTAAAATAACGTCATTCTAGTCTTATATAAAAAGGTCATATTTTCATTTTTATCTGTTAACCGTTGTGGGAAAGAACATAGAAGAGTGCTCCATGGAACTGGAAAGTGGCGAAATCCTCAAAATTCTCGAAGTCTTTCGTTTGAGATTTTGGCATTTTGCGAGTCTAAATTCGGATTTAATTAACAGCGCTCTTACAAGATATGTATTTGCCATATGTAAAAGCTACTTTTTTGCATCTACTCGTATATACCATATATTAGAACGTAACAGAAATGTAGCATTTACATGTAAGGAAGCCATTTGCAGATATGCTCCCTAAAAACTACCACGGCGTGACGGCATTCTCTCTGTTAACCTTCCAAATATCTTAGAGCCCGCTGTAAGTAGCTATTCGACTAAATTATATTTGCGTAACGCTCTTCACAGCCTAACCTCGAACGTTGCAAAATCTTTGTTTTACAAAGAATACTCTTTTGCTGTCTTCCTGGACAAAGAAGGCGCCTTGCCTTCAACAATGGAAGCAGTGACCCCGTCGGTCCAGAAATTGGCTGTTTGCAGCATATATCATCGCCTGTAAATAACCTTCGCAAAAATAGATTAAAAGACGCTGAGCTAGGTGCTGTAATCCTTACTGGAAAATCGCTATTGACTGCGTACCCGAAGAGATAAGACAGTTGAGGGAAAAAGTGGTACCCTACACCGATGACATGGCCATATTGGTCGCTGACAAACACCTAAAAACACTGACTAAATATTTTTATAACAACAAATATAAAACCAGTTTTTCGTCGCTGGTGTAGCACTCGAAGTTTGGGTGGCAGTCCCGCACGCCTTGATATTCTCTATGCAATATGGCAGCGACTATCAGTTCGAATATTCGCGTATACGGATAACATCCGGATATGCAGTGAATATTCGGATATTCTAAACAGTGTTTGAATGGATTCGTAAAATCGTCCTCAACATTATTGAAACTATTGGTTTGCAAAATAAATAATAGATCACTTCATTAGTATTTCGAAAATCGTTTATTTTGTTATTCACATACTCGGGTTATTTAATCAGACATTCAAATATCTCAAATTATTCGGATATTCGAACAATCCGAATAGGACTTTCAAAAAAATTTGGTATTTGCCTATCTATTCAAAGTCTAATTGTTTGGACAAAAGGCGATCGCAAATGGCAACGGAATGAACTATTTGCTTTCGATATAAACTCCTTGCCGTCTTCTATTTATGTATGTTGGCTTTGTTTCTTAAAAGCCGTCTAAAATTGCTTAAACACATGGAATGTAAGAATCGTGTATGTAAATAAAAAAAAATGCAACTCCGGCTAATTTTGGAGAGGACAAACGAGAGCGGACATGGTTAAATAATTTCGCGGACCACAATTAAGCAACGTTCATACTGCCAAAGTGTACGTACGGAGATGCTTTCAAGCTGGTACTTGGCGCTGCTTTCAACGACCTTGCTGCGACGCATTCCTCGCATATTTTGTTAACGTGCATAATGCTATGCACTCTTACGCACATGTTCAAACGTGCATATGAATGTACATACATACATACTACATACATACATACACACCAAATCGTACATGTGCATGCGGTAGTAGTGCAGTCGAACCGTCCTCATGTTGGCGGAAAGGTCGTTCACGAATATAGCAAGCCTTAGCTGGGCGTACAAACAAACATCCATATGTACATATACATATATGTATGTGTATATGTATGTACATAGTCGAAATTCTTCGGTAAATTGGAATTTGTCCCGCTTCACACTTTTTGCAAATACAGGCATTTTATACATATACATACATACATGTACATACATATATACATATATACTTACATAGGTATGTACGCATTCATGCATTTTCTTTTAAAAGTTCCGCTATATCGCTCTCCAACAAACGTGTTGTGTGTTTATTTCAAGAGTCACCTATTCACTAGAACATATGTATGTACATACATACATCTTACTGAAATTATTCCTGGCGATTTGTTTCAAAAATTCTCCCTTCCGCCTCCCCCTTTTCTCTGACTTTCCTTCGATTTTACTACATACATACATATTCCAATAGTCTACACTTCGAGGACGAAATTAATGCAACCTCTTACCCCACAAGACAACAAAATTAAGCAACCGATGAAGGTATGTATGTAGGTATCACAAAGTCTTCATCAACCTCATTTAAAATATATCATGGCGTCAACGACTGCATAACTAAGAAAGTGAGCAGCAAAGACGGTTAATGCAACTGCTGCAACCCAGTTGCCGCAATTACTGATGCCATTATGTATGCATGCATGTGCATATGTATGTATGTATATGCAGTTACGTCCTCATATGTGATGATTTGTTTTGGTTCCATTTTGGAGTTTTGTTGTTTTTCGTTTTAGCAGTTGAACCGTAGTGAACTTAAATTTACACTTAGCAGAAGCAAGCAAAATAATCAACAAACAACAAACAGCAGAAAGCAACCAATAACCAAAAATCTGAATAACCGGAAAAAGAGAAAAAGCATACATACATACATATGTATGTATCTGAAACAGAGGGCTGGGGAAATTATGCAACCTACATACGTAGTACGTACAACACAAGTACCGTAAAGTGCAACAAGCCAATTTGGTACAGAGAAGCGCATACATTTTTACATATATACAGGGTGGCGTTGAATAACCGTTACCCAGGTGTTTTGAATAATAAAAGGGTCCTTTACAGATTTTGCAAAAAAAAAAAGATTTTATTGTTAATTTTCCACAGATTTCACTTTAATTTTATTAATTAGTTTTTAAATTTTAACCTTTATTTGGGTTTGCCAGCGGTAAACACTTTGATAGAAAAGCGCAAGCGGCAACGCAAGTCTTCGTCAGTGAATTTATTCTATATCGTCTGTAACCATAGGTTAATTTTCTCCATTTTGATTCGTTTATACTGCCCCTTTTGTCCAACATAAGGCCTCATACTCAGAAATCGAATAGACTCGGAATTGGTCGCTAGGACGGCCATCCCTATACAGTTTTTCTTTTTTTGTCTGTTTTTTTTATACAAAGCCTAAGAAAAAATGCACCTGAAGAAGACTGGCGGCACGTACTTTTCTCTGCTGCTGACAAATGCGAATAAAGGATTAAAATTTTAAAACTAATTACTAAAATTGAAGTAATATCTGTGGAAAATTAACAATAAAATACTTTTTCTCGCAAAATCTAAAAAGGACCCTTTTATTTCTCGAAAAAAACCTGGGTAACAGTTATTCGTCGCCACGCCGTACATATATTTATAGGTGCAATCCCGTATTCCTCGGACTCGGACTAGTAAAACTGTCAAAAAAAATAAAAATTCGCTCAAAGCGAGAGAGTAACTGTGAAAAGTACGGAATCGCTTTCTAGTAAAAAATGGTAACTTCTGTCAACTTCAACATAACCTCCAAATTTTGGTTGTAAATGGGGGGTGGGCTAATTATATATCTTAATCAGCTTAAAAACATTTCGGTATAGTTAGAAATCCTCTAAAACCATTTTAATTATCATTTTACATTAAAAAAATGTTAAGTTTAAGATTTTACGACAATTAACACGTCTTGTGAATTCCCCTAATTGTCATTTACATATTCTTACATAAAGGTTTGTTTTCACTACTTATGTCAAATTCAATTGCATTTGCCATCAAATCATCGGTAAAGATATGGATAAAGGAGATGAAATTTTGTCAACATATCGACACATTTTGGCGTCAAAGTATGATAGTGAAAACTAGCCTTTAGGATGTATGTTCATACACACATATATTGACGTAGATACGAGTAAATAAAAAATAGGACACTGTACTCACTTTGCCTTTTTGAATATAATCGGCTGAGTCAATTTCACCATTATTGCAGAAGCGGGATGGAACACAGTCGTAGTCCTTTGAGCATATATCGTAGGGACGTTCAGTTGTTGTTGGTGGTGGTGGCGGAGGTGGGCGATATATACAGCACGTGTGTGTCGACGGCCTGCAGTTCTGAAAAGAGAAACAAAAGATGGTTCAAAACTTTGCTGGATGTGGATGGGGCGAGAAAAACTTCTCCAAGCAATGCTCTCTACCTGACTAAGTATATGTATTTCCCAAACTAATACTTTTGTGCCATCGCTGTACCTGCCATGAAAGAATAATCTCGTTGTCTTGCAATGAACATAGGCGACCAACATCTTTACAAAAGGCAGTCCCTATTATTCTGGCATAGAAGCAAGTATGTGTGTATATGTAAAGGGGGTTTCATTAAAGGTCATATGATTTCTTTTCAAAAACAAAACACAATAATTTTTGGTCTCAGAAGAAACGATGGATGTATTTATATGTCGATGGTCCTCCGCAATAACGACAAAACTCAAAACTCAAAGAAACAAAACCTCTCACTACCGCACAGTGTCAGATATGTCTCTAAAGAATTAGAAGATATGGATTCGACAAGAATTAGAGACATGTGTCACTCACTTTTCAGTAATGAGAGGGTTTTTAGTTTTGTCTATGTTGTTTTTGTTGTTTGTTGTTGACATACATACACACACATTAACCTTTAACCCACAGCAAAATTAATTTTGAGTTTGACTATCCCCGCCGAGAAACTAACGCTCTGTTATTATTTCTTTTTCAGACGCATTTCCTTATTAGGGTTTACAATGACGTAATTGGTAACCAATTTCGGTATTCTTTTGTCAAGTTTGCCTTGGATACGAACCGATTTCGGTATCGTCCCAACTTCAGCATCGATTTCCGTTCGGAAATAGAATGATGTAGGGTCAGGTCCCATTAGCCAAAAGAACAAAAAACGACACATATTACTCATCTACTGGAAAGACGTCGTAACCAAAAAAAAAAAAAACTTTTTTAATTAGGTATGCAAAAATGGGTGTTAGCCCTTCTTTAGATTTAATTTTAAGTTTTACATATATTTTTTGGTTTGAATACATATTTATGCTATTTTTCTGGAATTTTTTTATTTTTAACAAACGAGCAATATATTTGTACATACATATGTATATATTGCATCATTTGAATTCACAAGCAGTGTGAATAATTTTAGCCAAATCATTTTATAATAAAAATTTTTCACAATGATAATTATCGTCCAGTACTTCCTACATAAAAAAGCTACTAATTAAATAGTAACGCTAATGTGCAAATTGTTCATTTATTTAATTTAATAAACATTAGCGGGATTTTCAAGCCAAGATCGTTGTTGCCATTATTCAATACTCGCTTAATTATCTGCTACCAAATTGCACTTTTAATAAGCTATCGCGCTACTGGCGTTTATTCCAATCGCAAAATGTATCGCCCTAACTTGCCATAGCGTCTTTAATCTTTAAACCAATGAGTGGATATTAAAATAAGCTTATGTCATTAAAATTTATTTAAAAAAAATAAAAATAAATTTTGTCGAACATTACAAAACAATCAGGAAAGCCAATTTAAAGTATTCCGACTGCATTAAAGATCGAAAATATTATTTTCACATATTGCATTTTCTGTAAAAACAAATGCAGGTGGTTGGTGGGAAAAAGAAAACAATGCAAAGGGTGTTCGCTTGCAGAATGGGATACCGAGTTCACAATTGAACCGGTTTTTGTTTTTCTCTGGTAGTTAAGAAACTGCAGGGATTTCCAATTTGTTTCAAAGCTGAAATTACATATGTACATACATACATACATATATATACATGTAGTACGTACCAAACAAACTAAAACACTTACGTGTACATATGTATGTACATACACTGGCGGCAGAAATAATAGATTCGCCTTACTTTGAAGAGTTTTGGCTATTATTCCATGATTTATTTTATGTTAAATATGATTTTTTTAAAAGCCTGGCTAGCTATAAAACAAACACCATATTAATCCCATTTTCAAAATTTATAAAAAATTATAAAAATTCGACAAATTTTTAAACCTTTTATTCAGAATTTTTAGAAAATATTTGCTGGGCAGCTTTGTAGCCCATTCAACTTTAGTATAATAAAATGCAAGTTTCAAGTGACTAGAAAATACCGTTGATTTTTGACAATCTTTTTTGTTGACGATGCTAGGCATTTTCTTCCATATAAAAAAATTATTAAATCTCAATAGTATTTTGTAGCCAATTGAAACTTGCACTTTGTTATACTAAAAATTGAATGGGCTACAAAACTGCATAAAAAAAATTTTCTAAAAACGTTGAATAAAAAGTTTAAAAATTTGGTGAAAATTTGTCGAATTTTTGTTCAAAGCTTGAAAAGCGGATTTATATGATGTTTGTTGCAGAACTACCTAAGCTTGTATAAAAAAAAATATTAAACATAAAATAACCTAAATAAATATAGCCAAAATTCTTAAAAGTGCGACGTGTCTATTATTTCTGCCGCCATTGTATGTATTATGTTTCTGTGTGTGTGTATAAAGTATAAACAGTCGATAGGTCTGATAAAACGAAGGGCGTCTTGCAAGAAGAGTTAAATTAAATGTCGTCAATAAACTTAATTTCAAAAAAGTTACATAGTTACATAACAGTACTATGAAATGTTCATTCAATGCAAATACCTACATACTCGTAGTTTTACAAAACTTGTTGACAAACAAACAAAAAGACAAAGCGAACTATACTCTTTTGTGGTTGCAACATTAAATCCGTCTGTCAACCGTTTAATACACTGGGCAAAAAATCAACCAAAAATTCGTTAATATTACCAAATTCACAAACTTCAGAAGGAATCATTTGGTTAATATTAACAATTACTTGGTTCATTTCTTCAACAATGATTTGGTAGAATTAACCACACTTTTGTTTACATTAACCAAAGTTTTCGTTGTAGATTTTTTCCGTTCTGCATTTCACAGATTCTTTTTCATAATTCGGAGATATAAAACAAAAAATTTTATTATCATTTTAACAAGTTGCCTCTGACGATATTTGAAACGTTCTGAACACACCCATCTACAGCCGCTTTATAAATGTGTCTGCAAATGTTCAACTTGAATCAATTTTCTTCTTCGTTTGATTTGGCGAAGTGAGAATCAAAAAATTGTGTACGCCCAAGTATGATAGACATTTTATTTTATTTTATTATGTATTGTTTTTAAATGAATTATATTTTTATAAATCATATGTTTTCAGTCATATGTTTGGTCAAAAATATTGTTCTTCGAAAAAAAAAACATGCAAAATCCAACGGATATATTAAAAAAAAATAATTTTTTGTACTTTTTATTATACTAATATTATAGATTTTCATAAAAAATGCAATATAACGGGTGATTTTTTTGAGGTTAGGATTTTCATGCATTAGTATTTGACAGATCACGTGGGATTTCAGACATGGTGTCAAAGAGAAAGATGCTCAGTATGCTTTGACATTTCATCATGAATAGACTTACTAACGAGCAACGCTTGCAAATCATTGAATTTTATTACCAAAATCAGTGTTCGGTTCGCTTTACGTCCGATTTATGGTCTACATAATCGACCAAGTGAGCAAACAATTAATGCGATTGTGACCAAGTTTCGCACTCAGTTTACTTTATTGGACATTAAACCAACCACACGAATGCGTACAGTGCGTACAGAAGAGAATATTGCGTCTGTTTCTGAGAGTGTTGCTGAAGACCGTGAAATGTCGATTCGTCGCCGTTCGCAGCAATTGGGTTTGCGAAACACATTTCGAACCGAACACTGATTTTGGTAATAAAATTCAATGATTTGCAAGCGTTGCTCGTTAGTAAGTCTATTCATGATGAAATGTCAAAGCATACTGAGCATCTTTCTCTTTGACACCATGTCTGAAATCCCACGTGATCTGTCAAATACTAATGCATGAAAATCCTAACCTCAAAAAAATCACCCGTTATAATGCATTTTTCAAATTGAGAGGTTGAAATTTTTTTTTCGAATTTTGAACAGTGGAATCGTGTTTCTCGTCTCGAAATCTATAATACTAGTGTAATAAGAAATATATACATTTTTTTGTTTTGGAATAAATTCCGTGGGTTTTGCATGTTTTTTTTTTCCAAGAACACTACTTTTAGGTCAAGGCGTAATTGTGGCTCAATGGCAATATTTTTTCGTGAAAGGGATTTACTTTAGCTGCTGCTTTAAATGCTGCTTCTGTCGAAAGCGCTACGATTAATTCGCATGCAGTGTTCAAAAAGCACACTGTGCGGTTTGTGAAAGGACAAAAGATGTATTTTAAAATGCTGTTCATATTTTTCAGTNCAAGGCGTAATTGTGGCTCAATGGCAATATTTTTTCGTGAAAGGGATTTACTTTAGCTGCTGCTTTAAATGCTGCTTCTGTCGAAAGCGCTACGATTAATTCGCATGCAGTGTTCAAAAAGCACACTGTGCGGTTTGTGAAAGGACAAAAGATGTATTTTAAAATGCTGTTCATATTTTTCAGTTATGAGTTCAGCGACAAAATCTATTAGAAATGGCCAACTTCATATCAGAAAAAAATTTCAATTAGCACGAAATTGTTCCGAAAGTAGAATCACAATACCAAGAGTGTGATTGAAATTCTTAGCCTCGATTTCTCGACCGACTCAGATTTAGGGGTTGGGGGAAATTTCCTCTATTTTTTTGATTTAGAAATAAAAAGAAACAGGGTATATTTTATCGATTTAGAACAACCCTAGAGGGTGAGAGCATTAAAATTCGGACTTAACTTTTCCCACATGAATTTTTGGACCGCCTTAGGGCAATACATTTGAGCGCTTTGAGCGACCTCTAATTATTTTTTGATTTCAAAATAAAAAAAACAAGGGTATAATTTTTTTCCGTACAGAACAATCCCTGTGGTTCAGAGCATTAAAATTCCGCCTTTACTTATTTTGGGCCACCCTCTCGCCTTTTTTTCAACCTTAACGCGTAAACAGATGGCAGCGTTGATCCGGATCAACTCGGGAATTAACTGCAGTTGATCCGGATTAAGTTCGAGTTAGTCCGGATTAACGCGGCCGTCTGTTTAAGCTTTAAACGACTCTAATATCG